CTATATTGTCAATCTATTTCCCATTTTTAACGTTGTATCAACAAAACAATACTAAAATCACAAAAGATCACGAAAATTATCATTTTCTGTTTTTTTGTGTTTACTTTCAGTTCATCTCAAAGTTTGTTGCTTCTTGAGAAATGAACTTTTCATCACACAATAATACTTTTCAAAAGCCATATTTTGATTGAAAATTTATTTTATCACAGATGATTTGTATTTTAAGCATGTCACTTGATATTCTCCAATATAAGTCGGTACATTCTTTTTTGATTGGCCAATGTTTTTTTTCCAAATTTTTAAAACACTGAAATATAGTCAATTTCTATCATAAAATTCATTTAAACTCAAATTGCTGCACCTGATTTCATCAACACATTGGTAGCAAGTTATAATTTCTTCATTCCAGGAGAGGAATAAATGCGGAATACAAACAGTGTTACTCACTTAGGATGAAGACATCCCTGTATTTCAATCATTTTTGAAAGCAGATATTCGATTTTTGGTACAAGCATGGACCTTCAAGGGCCGCACTTTTCGAGTGACAGTCTTAAACACAGCTTACTCGTGAATTAGGAGGTTCAAAAGGCATTTTGTTACTGTTGACGCATTTACTTTCAAACTGACATTTGGAGTATAGATAATTCATTTGTTTCCATCACACTCTAGCCCAAATTGAAAACTGTTGAAACAAAAATTTGAGACTGCTTTGAAACGTTGAGAATGACGATTTTCCATCCAAAATTGGTCAAATTCGCAACCAATCATATTGGACTGAATTCGATTAACTTATATTTCATGAAATGATGATGATGATTGAATTTTTAGTTATTTCAATACATTCATTCCATTGATTTCCACTGTTTTATCATTTTATCATTTCTGTAGCTTTGTTTTTAAAAATCGGACTTGAATACGAAAATTATAAAAAAATTCAAATTCTGAATTTTGGGTTGGAATTCGGTCTGTAGAGGTTTATGCCAGGACCAAAAATCAAATATCTGCTTTCAAAAATGATTAAAATGCAGGCGTGTCTTCATCTCAAGTGTGTCACATTGTATATATCTTCTTGGATAGTTCTCATTAGTGAAATTAATGATTGGTATGCAGAAGTCTTCTTCATGACCGCCACATAGTTCTTCATCAACAGTTGTAGCAACATAATTAATTCTAATGATGATTGACACGTATTATTTATATTCCAATATTATAGCTCAGTTTTTATCTTGAAGATGTTCCCAAAGAGTTTATCACTTTCGTCAATTCCACTCATAAAACACTGAATGCATTTTTTGATTTTTCCTCAGTCTGTCGAATTTTTTTCCGTTAACGTGTGGTTGCTCCCTACAGAAAAATCCGCAACAGTTCACTCAAAAGAAACATTACTGGTAAACACATAAATTCATTTTCTTCTGTTCAATAAATACACCATTTTTCGAATGTTAGACGTTCAACATTCGACGTTCTACTGCATCCCGCAAAGGTTTATTGTGACTCACACCTGAACAAACGCAACCAAATAATCCCGTTTTCCTAACGAAGACAGTTATTTATTTGATGAGTGATTTTTAGGTCATTTAGCAAGGTTGAAACTATGTCAAACGCTGAAAATCTGATCTGATCCGCTGCGGGACAGGCAAGGACTGTGTGCTCTGTTACCAAGACATGAAATTTTCTTGTGGAGAATAACCCACTCAAAGGTTGACAGGCCGTGGTAGGATGAACCATTCAACTATGACTTCCTGATTCATTTTTACTCAATTGATTCAAGTTTACTCTGATTCCTCAAACACTATTCAACTCATGCAAAGGTTATATGGGGTACAGTTGGCGACTGCAGAAGCTTAAAAGATATTTACTAATTGCAAACTCTTGTCCCCTTAGTGAGACTTCTCCCCGTGAACATTTGTTGTTAATATACTGTCCAGGCCTGTTACGAAATGTAAAACATTATTTTTATTATCATTATCAGAATATGTGTTTGTGTTTCACGGGACATCCGCATTCAAATTGTATGTCAATCAGATTCTCAGAAAGATTCTCTGAAGAAAATACGTGTTGAACCTTTTATTTAATGAACCATTACATAATTCGTACTCCCGCAATATTTACTGATATTTCTTTCACACGAAGCTACTTTCAAGGTCTGTCAACTTCCTTTGGTAATTTTCTTTTTGGGTGGCGTTTACAGCGTGAATAAATATTTGACGAATGAAGTAAGTTTGAAAAAATGTGGAAATCAATGAATCACGTTGTCTCATTCGTTTCCTTGATTGGCATTATTTCGTAATATTGACAAACTAGATGAAACTCATACAGAGCAACCAAGGTCAGCCTTCGAGATGGATGACCATCTTTATTATATAAAAAAGCTTCAGAAGAAGAGGTTTATGGATTTTGTAAACGGAATATTTTCCTTTCTCCTTTCATATTCTTGTTCATGTGGCAGTGGAGAGTTCGAGTAAGGAAAATAAGCAAAATTCATGTCACCGATCATACCAAAAAACAAGGATCAGTGAAGGGNTTTTAGACAGAATATTTTTCTTTCTCCTTTCATATTCAGTGGAGTGTTCGAGTAAGGAAAATAAGCAAAATTCATGCCACCGATCATACCAAAAAACAAGGATCAGTGAAGGGAAAGCACTCCTATCCAACTTATAATTGAATGAAAAAGTTGGAAATAAAACTGAATTTCTGATTCGAATGATTATATGACAATGTATCTCATATTTTACAAGTTTTCTGTCTTACCTATAGTTTTATGCGATGGCAAAATGAGACGTATCTCGCACTCTCGAATAAATCACGAATAATTTTTTTTAAATCTGTATTGAACAGCTGTACCTCCCTTTCTTCTTCCTACGAACAACAACCCTCAGAAATTCAGGATTACTTTTCAACGTGCAGTTTCTAGCACGAATCGGATCCATAACTCACTACCTCTAGGCCAGTCACATATAGGCAAATTCATAACTTTACAGTTGTATTCCAACTATTTTCAAAATATCTTCTCCAACTTGAAATTTTATCATTGAACTGGCAATCCGTTTTGAAATACATAGTTTCTAACGAGAAAGGAGAATAAAAACATTTATATTTTCCAAAACTTCGTCACTCGATATCAAAATTAAAGTGATTACAAACCCAAATAGCTTTGTTATTCCGCTTTGTTATTTCTCGCTTGTTCAATATATACTATTAATTGCACAATAGTAGGTACTTATCTATAGTTTTAAATATTAAAATTTCTCAACCTATTCAGGAAAAATTCTTGTTTAGGTCCTGGTACACTTCTATTACTAAATAGTACTGTAGGAGGGCGTAGAAGGGGCTGTCAAGGGTCACCTGGCGCCTCCGACAGATTTCAAAAATGTTCATCAACGAATTTATGATAGTGGCTACCAAAATTTATGAAAAAAAAATAGATGTCCGTATTGAGAAACAAAAAATGAATATGGAAACCAATGGAAAAAAGTCGCATTGGTTCCTACCAAATCACAATGAAGATGAAGCAGTACAGAAAGTTTATGGGCCTTATTTCCATATTATTCGAAGTGGAGGTGGTGAAACTAACTAACGAAATCCGGCAATTTCAGCTTTGTGTGAATCTCTCGAAAGAGTATATTCGTGATTTATAAACAGAATTACCCTTTCAAATAGGCAGTTTTGTCCAATTCAACCGTGTCATCATAGTCATCTTCATTTATATCAGATTGGAAAATATTCCTTTACCCTTTCAACTGAGGTTCGTCAGGTGGACGAATGATTCAAGATTCAAAGTGTTTGGTTACGACATGAAGATCAAAGACCTCCATGCCGCTTACCGTCACTCCATTGAGTGGGCCTCCACTCAATGGAGTGACGGGGCCTTCTGAATCGGGTGGAGTCGCTAATAGTATAATCTACAGCTTCCCTGACTAGTAAGTTTTCATGAGTTTCCGCTGACCCGAAAACTCTCTAATTCCTTAACTGAATGGACTGCTGTATAGTCAACAGCTTCAAATATCTGCGGATGGCTGCATTCCGCACGAACCATGGAGCATTCACCAGAATCCGTAAGATTTCATCTTGTAATATTTCCAGAATGAAAAGATTTATCGAGGCGGTATGTTTCCAAGCGCCTGAAGCAAACATAATGACAGGCTTGAAAGTCGTATTTTATAGTAAAAACTGATTTCTAAGGTTGAACTTTGATTATCTGTTAACCAGAGGATAGAATCTGGCTATCATCGATTGAACCTTGCTCTTGATGTTCTCAATGTGATGTTCCCAGGTTAGTCAACGATCTATCAAAAGACCTAGGTACCTGACTCGTGGTTGCCATTCGATCTCCCTGCCTGAGATCGTATTTGTGTCAGGAGAAACGTTTTGTCTTCCCAAGTCTATCGCCTGGCTTTTATCTGGATTCACTCGAATCTTCCAATTGAGGTACCAGCGTTTGAGGTCGTTCAATGCACGTTGCATGTAGACAACCCCCAACCCATGGAAGAAACGAGGAGAGCCGTATCATCGGCGTTTAGGAAAAACTTTACGTGATTGAACCTAAGAAGGTCGCTCACGTGAAGGCTATAAAGTAATGGAAGCAGCACAGCTCTCTGAGGCACTCCAGCTTGGATAATCCTGACAGGGGACAGGGTTCCTTCAACTCGTAAGTGCTGACTGAGAAGCTCCATATTCAATCGTATTATTACTTTTAGGGCGTGGTGGGGATGGTGAAGATTGTCCACACAAATGCTCACTTCTGATTGGTCCGAGCTTGTGGTAGATTGTTTAGATTGATCCACGTTGTTTGCAGGTATGCTGCTGGTGAGATATCAATTGGAGATATTGTGGTCCATATCAGCCCTTCTTGATTACTGGATATCACGTTGTGTTGACCTGTATACCTTCTTCTATTTCGTATCTATCATGTTTTATATATTTAATTTGATGGAGTCGTTAGTAATTTCCAATATGTTCCATATTCCCCACTCTATTTAATGATTTTTTTGTTGTTTCAGTGCCACGCGATAGTGCGCGAGTTGTTGGTGCTTTGAGCGGAGACGGGACGGGAAGTCACTTGGTGGCTTCTCCCGTCAGAAAGGAACGGTTCAAAAAGTCCAAGAAGGAACTTGCCGAGGAAGCCGCTCGAGTTCTCAAACAGGTCGATCAAGTGGACTGCGTTTCGAAGGAAAGCAGTAAGTATATTTGTCCTTACCTATACATATATAACGAATTACAGGATGAATCGCAACGATCTGTTTAAAAAAATCTATTTTTCCGTTAATCAGCTGTCGCCCCCATACGAACGACAACTCTCAGGACTAACGAGGTCTTAACTTTCAACGTGTGATTCCTAACACGATAGAGATGATAAATATGTTGGAATATTGAAATTGGAAATTCGAAAGAAAACCCTTGTAAAAAAGAAAATTGAGAGCAATAGCCTACATTCTTTTATTGGCTTTTCTTATTCAGGTTAGGTCAGGTCCAAAGTGAGTGGGTCTATTCGACCTTCCACCGTAACCCGCAAGGGACTATTATGACTCAAACCTATTCACAATCGACCAAATAAACACAGCTTTTCAACGAATCCGATTAGTTTGTATGGTGAGTGGTCTTTCAGGTCAGATGATAAGAATACGGCTCTGCCGAACTCTAAAAATTCGGTCTCCAGCGGGGCAGATACAAAGTATGTGCTCTGCTGTTTCATCATTTTCCAAACAGAGGCAACGCACACTGTCTTCCGATAGTCCGAGTCTCTTCATATGATGATTCAAATGACAGTGACCTGTAAGAAGACCTCTTAGAGGTCGTAGTTCATCCCTGCTGTAGTACAACAACTGTTCGAAAGGTGAATAAACGCCTTGAAGTGAGCCAATCCTGAAAGATTCTGCCAGAAGTCTATAAATCTTCTTGCGATCTAGGTGTTCAATCTTTGTTTGGCAAAGCCTAAAACGATTCCAATGACATGTTCTATTCCGATGAAGCTGCTTGCAGAACCCTCCTTTGCAAGGAAGTCAGCAGCCTCATTGCCTTCCAGGCCAGTATGGCCAGGAATCTAGACCAGAGACAATCTGTTAGGTCTTCCTACCGAGGAGAGTCGTTTTTGGCAATTTGCTACCAATTTAGACGTTGCTCGGTAGGAGCTTCCAAAGCCGCTTGAGAGGAAGATCAAACTGGTCTCTATGCATAACGTGTTTCGATCACCAAGTGATCATCTTCAAGAGGAAGATCAAACTGGTCTCTATGCATAACGTGTTTCGATCACCAAGTGATCATCTTCAAGAGGAAGATCAAACTGGTCTTTCTCTTGAAGATGATTACTTGGTGATCGAAACACGTGCGATATGTTAAAATAACGGTTTGGTGTTGGGATAAAACTCCAGTAATATTCATTACTACACCAAAGTTTCCAAACAGTCCATCACAGGTACATTATGTATTATTATTATGAATTAGCATTAAACTACAGTTATATATTTTTCTGATGTTATATCCATGTAGTTAAACTAATCAGCCTTTTTGAAAATTCAGAAGTCTGACACTGATACTAATAATTGTATGTTGAGCAACACAGGGAAGAATAAATGAGTAATTCTTGAAATTTTGAAATGGTAATAATAGGAAAAATAAGAAAATACCAGGAATCAATTTAATAACCTTCATTACCTATGCACGGTAATGGTTCGTCCAGGTCTAGATGTAAGTATAGAAAAACATCAGCATAGTTTTTAGAAATAGTCTCAGTTATTTCCTGATGATGCTGACTTGGTGAGCGAAACGCGTGTGGAGAGACAGCATTTTTCCTCTAGTGAAGATGAAGTGTTTTCAATGGCTTGCTTCATTTTACGACATAGAGTCCAAATTCCACTTATTAAATAACTACTAGTATTGATGACAAAATGCGCAAAGCTTTGAAACTATGACATTTCTCAAACCCCTGAAAAAGACAATGGGCTTGTGTTTTCCAATGGTAAAAATAGTATTACGTATTACCTTGTGCTATGATCTATAATTCTGTCAAATACAGATCCCGATATGAAATGAAAAGGAGAGTTACAAACAAACATACATACAGATGAAGCTAATATAAAACGTGTAAACGGAGAAAAAACGCTGTTTTTTCTCCGGCTATCAGTTTCTCAGCTAGAAACAAACGATTATCGCAGTTCGCTTGAATGAAGTCTCAATTAAATCGCGCCCTAACGACCATTTTCCGCGACTTCATTCTTTCCCATCTATCAGCGTACCTGAAAACATTATAGAAATGTCTTCAAGTTGAGTTTGCATATTTGCGTAATCATCTCCGTACGTCCGAGTATTTAGAACATAATAAGCGCGGCTAAGATGTACGGGCTCGAAAATGTGAATAATTCATCTCTGAATGGATGCTGTGGGTATACAAGTAACCTTCATTAAAAGTAATAAGTAGGTAGCATAAAGTCTTGTACGACTGTTGAATAAATTACGCGAAAAAATCGATCAGAATTACTGGTCGCACATTTTTCTACTCTTGATTGGCTCGAATACGTTGCGGTGGGCGTTGAGATAGGGCTCGTTTCTGCAACTGTCGTTTTATGATCGTGTTTTGTTATATCAACAATTACTCTGAACGGAGCTACAGCATGTACCAAAAAAAGGCGAAACTGTAGCCTTGAACGTCTTCTGGCATTTGTGAATAATTCGCTTTGTCTTTCCACTCATCCTCTTTCATGTAAAACATTTAGGAAGCTTCCAAAGGAGGAAAAGTGCGCTTTGCAGTAAATATCTCGGTTTTTTGTTGGAATTTCTATAATTTTTTGTTGGAAGGTGGAGAAGTACTATGCCAAAATTATATAGAGTACACCATATTGATAAATACCATAACAAATCAGATATTGTTGAGTCAAACCTCAGCAAATATCCTTTTAGTTTCTTCTAAAAATTGTAATGCCCATCCCCCGAATCTGTCGAATCCCCCGAAATACCAGACGGATTTTGATATGATTTTCATCAATTGATGGAATGATTCAGAAAAAAAAATGTATGCGTAAGATTCATAGATGTTTTATACACATTGGTTGAACTATGACGATGTTATCCGTGTAAAGTCGGGGGGAAGCAAAGAAGATAATTTCATAAACACTACCCGAATCTCTTTAATATACGTATAACCAAATCAATCACTAGGTACATATTCTTCTTCTTTGAAATATCTACAGAAAAGTTTGTGAAGGAATAATCCCATCTTTTGAGGTTAGTTTACTATATTCATTCGAATTTTTGAAGAAATGCTCACATTTAATGTGATAATTGGTAAGTTATTTGGACTGATATAATTTCAACCCTAATCAAACTGAATAAATTAGTTACTCTTGGCGTTTTATGCACTTTATAATTACCCTTCACACCATACAATTCAAATTGATATCTCCGGAATTGTTGCAAAATCTATACTTATAAATGCGTCACATCTCTGTTTCTACATACTGGTAAGTCCCAGGAAGCTAAAATTTGGTATAAAGGTGCTTCTTAGGTTTTAGATGCGCAGTAAAAAAGGATTTTCAAATATTACATCTGGAAGGCCCCCAGTGAGGGTAGAAGGGGCGCGTTTACATATGAAAATTACCTTTTCATCACTGTTTCATATCAATATGCGTGACAAAGAAAAGTTGCAATTGCGCTGGTTTTATTTTATGTGGTGAATCACTTTGAAGGATAAGGTTGCATTTTGTTTTGTTTTTGTTTTTTTGGGTATATCGTTACTCACCCATTTTCAACTTGAAACTGATGACTGTGAACATATTTCTTTCAGGGCGAATTTTATGAAAGATCCTTATATTAGTTGCAAACTGATACAAACAGTAAGGAAGCTCTTTGCTCCTACCGAATAACGTCTAAATTGGTAGAAAATTGCCAAAAACGACTCTCCTCGATAGGAAGACTTTACAGATTGTCTCTGGTCTGGATTCCTGGCCATACTGGCCTGACTCTTTTGCAAAAGAGAGTGCTGCAAGCGGCTTCATCGGACGAGAACCTGTCATCGGCATCGCTTTGGACTTTGCCAAACAAACATTGAACACCTGGATGGCACTCCAAGGCGTTTATCCACCCATCGAAGCTTGATACCAAACAGTTGTTGGACTACAGTAGGGATGAACTACGGTGTCTAACAGGCCTTCTCACTGGTCACTATTACTTGAATCATCATATGCACTGTCGGAAGACAGTGTGTGTCGCCTCTGTTTGGAAAATGATGAAACAGCAGAGCATATACTTTGCTCTGCTGCACCGAATCAGCTTCTTAGAGTTCAGCAGATCCGTACTCTTACCATCTCTTCTGAAAGACCACTCACCATACAAACTAATCGGCTTCGTTAAGAAGCTGGGTTTATTTGGCCGAGTGTGAATGGGTGTGGGCCACAATAAACTCTTACGGGTTTCGGTGGAGGGTCGAATAGACCCACTCACTTTAGGCCTAACCTAACCTAACCTAAATAAAAGGTGTTCCATTATTGAATGCTGATCCTCCTGCAGTGCGGTAATCTTTGAATGATTTAGAGAAAAATTCTTGAATGAACACAGATTCCCAACTGTTTTATTTCTGAGACATACGATGTTGAAATTCAACAAAAAATAACATGGTACATGCAAAGAATGCATAAAAACATTTTCCGTAGTACAGGTTTTCTTAATGTTATCAGTGAAGAGAAGTCACTGATAACACTTTTAACATGTCCTGCCATATTTATTATCATAATCATTATATGCCGCTTTCCTTTTCTCAAATAAATATTATTTTTGTAATTGCTCCCTTTCTAATGAAAATGTCTCCTGTTTTTTTTCGTCCAGCCAACGGTTCTTAAGGTAGAAAATAAAATGCATTCTTTTGTTTGTCCCTAATCGATTTTTTCTCTCATTCTCAAGTTCACCTTCGATTTAGTTATTATCGTTGCCAACCTATACTATTCATATTCTAGTGCAGAACCAACCTAAAAAATGATATTTTCAATAAACTACTATATATTATCATTATCCAAAATGATCTACCTGCTGGAATGTTGTGAAAATAACATAAACACTCGTATATCATATTTAACAATTAGCCAATTAACACCACAACTTCAGTAAAATTGTCTGTAATAAATTTCGCAATGATCAGAGTTAGTTTGGATTTGAATGACGTTTGGATTTGAGTGATGCAACTCAGTGTCAC